GATATTAGACGAAGGATTGGGGCACGTCAGAAGTTGCCCCAAAAACTATCAAACTGATAGCAAAATTTACGGTCATAGCTCGTGCATATGCATTGTGGCACATGATGCCATGAGCCATGGTACATGTTAGACGAGCCGTGGTGCACGCTCTAAAATTTTGTAAAATTATTTTGTTTTCGAATTCTTTTGCAAATGTATTAATTCTTAAAATGATCCCATGCTTCTACATAAATTGTAGACTCTAATTTGTCTATTTGAAAAACCTTGAAAATGGTCTTAGTTTTGAACACTTGGGATCCCAACTTTTTCACCATTTGCAATTTGGTTTTATATTAATTATCTTAATCTAATCTCCTTGATATTTGAGAGTTGAGGTTAATCATTTTTTTAAAAGGAGGATATTACAAGTAAGCTTCTCATATAGAGCCTTTGCATAATCAACTATAGGTATCTGGGAAGAGTTTTCCCTTGAGTAGAAATACTTGTACTTGAAAGGTTACTATAGCAAAGTAAAAAAAAAAAAATTGGACCTTGTATACTAGCTCACGTATTTCACTCAATAAAATATCACTATTATTTATCACTCTTTTAATGTGAAGCTAAACAATCTTTACTCAAATTCGATTTGGCAAAGTTCTATGTGAGAAACAACAATGTGAGATAACAGTTACCATGAAATTAATGTTAAGTTACAAAGGAAGTGTAAAAGATGAGATATGATGAGGTATGTGAGATAAAATAAGATTGAATGGGATATGATATGGTAGATAAAATAAGATGAGATAAGAATGAGATAAAAGAAGGTATGGTAAATAAGATATGATAAGATTCACCGAATCAAAAAATATATCAACTCTATTATCTATCAAATTGAATCTCCACTCTCTTTCTCTCTTTTTTTAGATAAACTTTTATTTTCAACTCTCTCTTTTTTTAAAAAAATTATTTTGCACCTTTTTTTGCTTGATTTTTTTTCTTTTTTTTCAATAACAATTCTGGCTCTCCTTTTGGAGCACATGCCTATTGTTTCAATATGAAGATATAAGGGAAAGAGATTTAAAAAACTCAATAACAAAATGACTGAGTTTTTTTTTAATAAAAGAATGGATGGAAAAAATATAAGTAGATGAAAAAAAAATGAATGAATGATATAGGGAAGAAATGATAGATGAATGAGAAAGATGAATAAAAAGACAATGAAAATGAATGATAAATGAAAATGAGGATAAACAAATGAGAAAGAATGAAGAACACAGTGAAAGAACATGATAGAATGACAAAACTTCATTACAAAAAATATGACTTTTGGCGACAACAATTTTAGCAGCGACAATTAACATGATAGAATGACAAAACTTCATTACAAAAAATATGACTTTTGATGATGACTTTTAGCGGCGACAATTTTAACGGCAACAAATTGTCGCCGCCAAAAGTTTACAATTTGCCACCGCAAAAAATCGTCACCAAAACTATATTTTGATTTGTTGTAGCCAAATTCTAGTAGCGACTTTGATTTGTCGTCGCCAAAAGTATTTTTATAAAAAATAATTTAAAAATTAAAAATAATTAATATAATTTACTTTTGGTGGCGATAATTATTTTTATAAAAAATAATTTAAAAATTAAAAAAAATTAATATAATTTACTTTTGGCAGCGACATTTGTCACCACCAAAAATATTATTATAAAAAATAATTTAAAAAATAAAAAATAATTAATATAATTTAATTTTGGTGGTGACAAAGTATTATTATAAAAAAATAATTTATATAATCTACTTTTGATGGAAATATTTGTAAAATTATAATTTAGTTTTTTAAAAAAATTATGATTTTTTTAAAAATTTGAAATTAAATAAAATTATTCAAAATATATTTATGAAATTAAATTTCTTATTTTATGTATAGAATTAGAAATAAATTATATATAGGAACATGAAACAAAAAATAATAGTCAAAGTGTGCTAAGTTATTAAATATTTTCTAATTTTATATTATTCATAATCATTTTTTAGACATATATAACTCTTTTTTTTAAGAATTATGTTATTAAGCTAGTATTTTAATATGATAAATTAAAATCTTCATGGGTTCTTACTTCATTTATAATTAGGTTAAGTTATACATAAATTATTACTTACAATCAAATACATAAATAGCATTGGGAAGTTAAAGTTGCACAAACATCGTGAGATGCAAATGATATTATAGACTACTTAGCATATTGCGCACTTTATACTTAGCTTGATATACATATGATATTTACTTCTTTTACTGAGCTCTAATGACTTTTGGATAAGGATTTCATGTAATTTCTCCTAGTATATTTAGGTTTTCATTACTATAATAACATTTTATAACTAATTATTACTAAGAATAATATGAATAACTATTCAAATTTACCTTGCTATAAGATTGGAGATAATTAGATGTTAACGAAATTTATTACATATAAGATTCTTATAATTATCATATATCGTAAAATTTATTAGTATTTATTTTCAAAATGACTATTAACAAAATTTATGTTGTTAAAATTAATTTTTTATTAAAATAATTTTTTAAGATATTGAAAAATTATCTATAAAATATATTTTTATTAAAAGAGGGGGAAACATTTAACTATTTTGAGAGAAGATAAAAATTTAATCATTTAGTTTATCAATTTTTGAGAAAAATATGGAGAAGAAAAAAGTAAAAGATATTTAATATAAAATAATATAATACATATTTATAAATAAATTATATACTTAATAATTTTCATTTAAAAAATAAAAATATAATTTAAACATTTATTACAATGTATATAAGAATATTATTTAATATTTAAAAATTGTTTATTTTAAGTTCATTTTCCTAAAAAAATATTTACTAGTAAAAAATAATATTTTATTAAAATTATAACTTAAATATTCATATAAATCATTTTTTCATATTAATAATTGAAATAAAATATAATATATGTATATCTTTTTAATAATATATTATTTGATATATGTGTATGCAGTTGCATAATATATATTTAATTTTGCATATAATAACTGCAGGTACATTTCAATTCAACTGACAAAGAAGGAAAGCTTAAGGCTTGGAGAAGGGAGAGGTCAAGGATTTAAACCTTGGCTTTGCCATATTTTGTAACAAATATGTGACGTGGCGCGTGGTGGTGACGTGGCACATGAGGTGGTTTGAGAAGGCACACACGTGACAGGTGATATGGCACAAGATGGTAGCATGGCACATGAGGTAGCTTGAGAGGGTACACACGTGGCAGGTGACGTGGCACGAGATGGTGGCGTGGCACATAAGGTGGCTTGAGGAAATGCACACATGTCATGTGACATGACATGAGATGGCTAGGTGATATGGCATTATCTGTTGAACACGTGGCCTGTGACGTGGCACAAGATAGCAAGTGACGTGGTATCATCTGTTGCATATATGGTAGGTGATGTGGCATCACTTAATGCACACGTGACAAAGTGATGTGGCATAAAATAAATTATCATTTCTTAAAAAAAAGTTTTGGCGGTGACAAATAGTCTTTTTGGTGGCGACATTTGTTGCCGCTAAAGAGACCTTTAGTGGCAAAAAGACCAAATGTCATCGCCAAAAATTATTAGTGACGATTGTTATAGCGATGACTTTTAGCGGTGGAAAGTCGCTGTTAAAAACATTTGGTGACGACTTTTTGTCACCGTCAAAAGTCTATTTTTTTTTTTGTAGTGCTTGAACAAGCAATCAAAGCTCTAAATACCAAATAATATGAGACAATTGAATGATAGCTCATGATAATCTAAAAATCCTACAATGTGTTATCTCACGGAAAACAATACTAATCGAAATAGCCTCATAATTGAAAAAAATTCAATTCATTAATTCAATCAAGTCTTAAAAAATACAAAAGAATGAATTGTTTAAATAGACTTTTAAAAATACATAAATGATGCAATCCTATTTAATCCAGGATATCAAATGGATAAATCATATCCTACTAGGTATATCATATCCTTATTTGAATTTAAAGCAAGATAAACTAATTTCTTAAATTTAAAAAAATAATATTAAATAAACTAATGAGATTCATGGGCTTGAGTTTTTTGGAATAGATCCAATATGTTAAGAGTTTTTTTTATGTATTCTAGAACTCTATTTTCCTTTAGGACTTCTTGGTCATGTAGGACATTCTTTATTAATGAATTTAAGAATTCTTTTATCATGTTGGTTTTAGATCTAGTCTTTGGTCTTCCAATGCTCTGCAACATATCAAAGGTATTAAATGTAAGGTTTTGACTTAGCTCTTAATTCCCATCACATTATCAACAAAATGTTTTGCTTCAAAATTGGGAAGCATCAAAGCAGCTTCTTTCATAATCTTTATGCGCAAATCTTTCAGTATGATTTGAATTAGTAATCCATTTTAAGCCCTAAGATTGAGCATCAAATTTTACTCTTTGAATTATTACAAGTTCCTTTGGAAGTATTTTTTAAGCATTGTAAATTAAAGAACTGCATACATCAGATGGAGAAGCTTATACTTTTTTTTCCCCGAGTTGTAGACTACTTGCTTGCGACTGAAACTAGAAAGCTGAACTTAATGACAAGCATTAGTGAACTCAGATTCATGGTTATTTATTGTTTTTTTGTCACTTGGTTTATACACCTCCGGTCTTTTTAATATTTCATTTCTACTAACTTCATTAATATCAGTACAAAAATAGTATAAGGAATAAAAATGTGTAGAATTTTAAATATGCCCTTATATAATAAATCTAAATAATAATGTCATATTACTTTACCCCCATGAAAAGTAATTTTGAAAATATTTTTTAAATATTATCTAAAAAGTTACGTCATGACTTATAAATGAGACCAAATTAATTTTTTAAAATGTGCCTTATAAATAGAATCGAAGGAAGTATATGATAGAAAAATAATACAATAAGATTACTTTAAAACAACAAAAAAGCAAAAAAAAAAAAAAAAGAACAAACAAACTACGACACGAAAGGAAATCCATTAGCTTAATAAGAATTTCCACACCCTTCTTACAGTGAGGTTGTACTATGCCCAGATGAAATTAAAAGCTACATTCTTCGATGTCACATGATGAACAAAGCATCTCCTCTTTGTTCTTCTGTCATATTACAGTTCATTTATAAGATTGCAATACTTTCTTTATGCTTTAATCCAATCAACAAAGTTCTTCAAATTCTTGTTTGAGCTGCCACCTTCTTTGACACTGTTAATGGCCTTTTCCTTCAGCTCTAAAGCCCTCACTCTGAATCCCTCATCATCGAACATTTGATTAATCTTAGATGCTACTTCTCTGCTAATGATCCCATCTTTTCGACCAAGCCTTAACCCGACCTTCCAAATATCACAAATATAGGTCTCATCAAGAAACTGATCAGCCAATAAAGGCCAGCACAAGAAAGGCACTCCATTGATGACACCTTCGAAGGTAGAATTCCAACCACAGTGGCTTAAGAAGCAAGCAATTGAAGGATGGCTTAGAACTTTCTATTGAGGAGGCCCAACCGACGACCTTCCCACGAGAAGACAATCTCTCTTCAAATTCTTTTAGGAAGTCATAGTTTGCCTCATTGTTGATACCTGATCTTACAACCCATAGAAATGGCTTATTTGAGAGTTTAAGTCCCAATGCTAGTTCTTGCAGCTGGGCATGATCAAGGATAGCTATACTTCCAAAAGCAACATATATAATTGATTTATCTTGTTGTAGATCAAGCCAATTCAAGCAATTTGAGTCTTCAGGCCAAAGGGATCCTTCTAAATGATTCAAGCAATTTATCTTTTTCTTTCTTGCTTGAAGTGTACCTATAGGAAGAATTTTTGGAGAAAAAGCAAAAGTTAGAGACTCAAGTTCATGTGTTGAGTTGCAGATCACCCAGTCTATGCTTTCCAGTGCTTTGTTTCTCCTCATTATAGAGTTAAATACAATTTTTTGTGCATTCAAGTTGTCACAAATTTGTCTCTAGAGAAAATGTTTTGTACTTATAGTAGGCATCTCTGGATCCAAATGAATAACCTAATCTTCAGTTGGTGTTCGTAGAGTAGAGATTACAAATTAGTTCATAAGTTCTAATAGTTTGGATACATGGATTTGGTACAACTTATAATTTAATCTATCAAGTAGAAAGCTTAGTTGCTTATGAAAAGTTATATTATGATCTGTACAAATAGTTTAGTTATAATGTCAAACATACATGTCAAAGGCTTAGGTACTATGTAAGAAATAATTCATGTGAGGAACTATAAATAGTTTCGTCCCTTTTTGTCTATTTAAGGCTAAAAACTCATCATTTTTTAATTATCATCGATAGGATGGTCTGAAATTCTGTTGCAACATTGCATACTGATTCTCAACATGTGAAAGAAAATGACGCAGGAAAAGTAAAAAATAAGTACTGAAGCACGAGGTCTGACCATTACTATCAATGATTCCATCATGAAGCAGTTTTGTGATGCTGAGCACCATGGCCAAGAGTAAAGCTGAAGCAGACCAGAATACAGCTCTATGGATTCCCATCTTCTCGGCAACTTCAAGTGCCCATCCCATGGCCCCATCTGCAATCACACAGGTTATCTTTACACTGTCTGATTCATTTATCTCTTGTATCAGCTTTTCCAGCTTCTTTGGCATGACTTTCCACATTGATTCCATTAATCTTGCCCCACGACGATCCTTGCTTTCTTCTTGTTCTAAGCCATCTGGGATGGAGACCAGTTGAATCAGATCATTTCCCACTTGTTCTTCTTCTTCTTCACCCCTTACTGTCCAAGCTTTCATGATTCACTCATGGCTGAAATCAGTGTGATTCTGATGCCATGTTTGACCAGTTCATGTGAAAGCTTCATAAGAGGATTAATATGGCCTTGTAATGGGAAAGACAAAACCAGAACATGTGTTCTACTCATTGTTTAACTCTCAACTCTTGTTTCTCCCACAGTTCATGCAAATATTGCAAGGAATTATGAGATGTGTGTATGTCCTTGCCAAGGGTATCAAAACTAGGCCAAACAGATCTGTTCTTTTGTAGCCATGGACATTAGTGTTGAATAATGAATACCACCAAAAAAATTTCATGGATGATCCAGTTAGATAAAACATGATTGGAAATATTTTGATATGATTGAACATTCTTGGATTCCCTTGTGCATATGATGACGAAGACATTTTATCATGATTGATTACTATGTCACTTTTTCAATTATATGCCTGAAAGAAGCTAACAATTGTGTTGACTAGATTACTCGTACAGACCAACTATATGAACTCTGATTCTACAACCATGTATAACTCACCACTTGGGTGCGGCAATCTTTTCTTTGTTGATTTATATGATGAGCATCTTGCTCCTATTTATTTTTTCCTATGTTTATAAACAATTTTTTATTGAATATTTTTAATGCTGTAGGGGTATAATTGTTCACTTTTTATTATTTTCCCTCTCCATTCTCATCTCATACCTTTCTTTTAAATTTCTTTCTTCTCCTTTCTTTTGTTGTGCCAAAAACTATGCTAGGGTCAAAAGAAACAAATGAGTTTCAAATTGTTTTAAAAAAGTGATTTATTATTACAGATTTTTCATTTGGTTATAATAAAAAAGACTTTTTACTCAAGCTTTTTCTAAATAATTAGAAATTCATTTTTTTATTTTTTTTATTGTTTAATCAAGATTCCTTGCGTTGGGTAAGGCAAATCAAAACCAAAACATGTGCTCTCCTCGTTGTTTAACTCTGAACTCTTCTCGAAAACATCATGCAGGAATTGTAAATTAAGTACAACCCAATAGTTTCAAAACCAAACCAAATAGATATTATTCTCTTTTCGCCATGGTATTTTACTTTCAAAAGGCTACATTATTGTCTTGTACTATAATTAAATCATGAAGTGGGATGTACCACCTTCTGCAGACCTTGGTTAATGAATGGCCACAAATTAATCATTTGTTCGTGGACAGTGCACATGCCTCGATCATCATCGAAAATTTGGATCTATATGAATGCAAATATCAAATATGCTTATATATTTATATTAAATGAATGGTTGAATTGTGTTGGGGGAAAACTGAACTGGCTGACACTTTGGGGTCATGTGCTGAAAGCTTTAAACACCATACATCCACACTACTGGACTTTGTATAAAAAAATTGAAAAAAGTTAAATTTAAAGCTATGATGTATTCTGTCTTGTCAATTTAAAGTTAAAAGATACATGTGGGTGAAAATCGTGGCCAATACTTAGCTCCGCTCCACCGAATTCAAACAAGCAAATTGGAGCAGAGAAGGTTAAGTTGACGGCAAGGGTGGAGAGAGAGGAGGATAGACAGGGGAAGCAGCCCCTAAATTTTTTATTCTTTTAATAAAATATAAAAGTTACATATTTTCAATTCTCTAAGTTGGTATACTATAAAAATTATAAAATGTTAAATGAAATTTTAATTTTAATTTTATATATAATTTTTGACATATATATAGAGCAATTATTTTAATAGTTTAAAAATATGGTTATCATAGAATCTACTCATTTTCAACCGAATAATATTGTACATACTTTTAAAGTATTGATATTATTTTATTTTACTTTCATTTTATGTTTGATGAAAGAAATTATAAGAATTATTATCAACAAAATTTGTTAAGTATTTTAATAAAAATCTCAAAATATATTAAATGTTATGTACTTGATATCTATGATAAAATTACTTATTCAAAAGTTAAGAGATTTGATGAAGATGTTCTTCTAAAAAAAATTACTTTTTTAAAATAATCAAGTTATTAAAATTTATTATATGCATGATTTTTACTCTGACATAATTTGATTAAATTGACATAAATATAAATATTTTATGATAATTGAGCATTATTAATGTGTTGATATATTTGTTTACTACAATTATTAATTGAAAATTAAATAATAAATTCAATAGGTAAGTAATATAGCTTATTATATTAAATAGAATTTTAAATTTTAATGATATATTTAAATCATTTAATACTTATAAGGGTGATAAATTTTTTTATCAATTTAATAATAATTCATATTGAAAAGTAAATTGTTAAAACATTTATCGTAGATATAATAATTAATAATTTTTATACCATAAAAAATTAATGAGCAAAACTTAATATATATATATATATATATATATGTATATATATATATATATATTGTTATACATGTGTAAAATTAAATATAAATATATGTGTTGAAATATTTATATAATATTGGTAATATATATATGTATATAATTTTTTTTTAATTATCATATACATATACACACACTTTGTCATCTTAGCCTTTTTTAATAAAAATTTCTGGTTCTGTCCTGATTGATAGGGAGTTGTAATAGGATAATAGGGCTAGTTACATTAGCATTGGTATCCTTAGAAAAGATCTTTAGTGAAATGATGATGATATTCCAGTTAAGCAGGGTTTAATATAGTTACAGTGAGGTTGTACTTCGCCCAAATAAAGTTAAAAACTACATTCTTCTATTGTCACATGATGATAAAAGCATGTCCTCTTTTTCCTTTTGTCATATTACATTTCATTTATAAGATTACAATACTTTCTTTATGCTTTAAGCCAATCAACAAAGTTCTTCAAATTCTTGTTTGATCTGCCACCATCTTTGACACTGTTAATGGCTTTTTCCTTTAGCTCTAAAGCCCTTAATCTGAATCCCTCATCATGGAACACTTGATTAATCTTAGATGCTACTTCTTCTCTGCTAATGATCCCTTCGTTTCGACCAAGCCTTAACCCGACCTTCCAAATATCAGAAATATAGGTCTCATCCAGAAATTGATCAGCAAAGAAAGGCCAACACAAGAAAGGCACTCCATTGATGAGACCTTCTAAGGTAGAATTCCAACCACAGTGGCTTAAGAAGCAAGCAATTGAACGATGATTCAGAACTTTCTGCTGTGGAGCCCAACCGATGACCTTCCCACGAGAAGACAATCTCTCTTCAAATTCTTTTAGGAAGTCATAGTTTGCTTCTTTGTTAATATCTGATCTTACAACCCATAGAAATGGCTTATTTGAGAGTTCAAGCCCCAATGCTAGTTCTTGCAACTGGTTATGATCAAATATAGCTATACTTCCAAAAGCAACATAGATAACTGATTTATCTTGCTGTAGATCAAGCCAATTCATGCAAGTTGAGTCTGCTGGCCAAAAGGATCCTGCTAAATGATCAGTATGGTTGTTCTTTCTTGCTTGAAGTGGGCCTATAGGAAAAATATTTGGAGAGAAAGCAAATGTTTGTGGCTCAAGTTCTTGTGTTGAGTTGCAGATCACCCAATCAGTGCTTTCCAGTGCTTTGTTGCCCCTCATTATAAAGTGAAATACAATTCTTTGTGCATTCAAGTCACAAACTTGTGTCCAGAGAAAATGTTTTGTCCTCATAGCAGGCATCTCTGGAGCCAAATGAATAATCTGATCTTTTATTGGTGTTCCTAGAATAGAGATTACAAATCATTTGAGAAGTTCTAATGGTTTGGATACACACTTTTGCTACACCTCTATGTCTCTTCTCGTTGTCTTTCTTGCTCATAATTTAAGCTATTAAGTAAAAAGCATGTGCTTATGAAAAGTTTTATTATGATCTTCTGTGCAAATAGTTTAGTTATAAGGTCAAACTCAAATGTAAAGTTTTAGGTACTATGTCAGAAACAGTATCTATTCAAAATCTTAAACAGTTCAAGTGAGGAACTATGAATAGTTAATCAATTTATATATTTAACTCTAAATACTCATCATGTTTTAATCACCATTAATTGGATTGTCTGAAATTCTTTCACAATTATATACTGATTTGCTGCATGTAAAAGAAAATAATGCAGAAAAATTAAAAAAAATAAGTGAAGAATATGGTTCACCATTACTATCAATGATTCCATCATCAAGCAGTTTTGGGATGCTGAGGAACAAGGCCAAGAGTGAAGCTGAAGTAGGAATGAATGCAGCTCCATGGATTCCCATCTTCTCTGCAACTTCAAGTGCCCATCCCATGGCCCCATCTGCAACCACACAGCTTATCATTTCACCAACTGATTCATTAATCTCTTGTATCAGCTTTTCCAGCTTCTTTGGCATGACTTTCCACATAGATTCAAGTAACCTTTCCAAACCACGATCCTTGTTTTCCTCTTGTTCCAGGCCATCTGGGATTGAGACCAGTTGAATCAGATCATTTTCCACTTGTTCTCCTCCTCCTCCTCCTCTCATTGCCCGAACTTTCATGATTCGCTCATGGTTGAAATTCGTGTTCACGAATGTGATTTTGATGCCACGTTTGACCAGTTCATGTGAAAGCTCCATAAGAGGATTAATATGACCTTGTGCTGGGAAAGGCAAAACCAGAACATGCGTTCTACTCATAGTTCAACTCTCAACCCTAGTTTCTCTGAAAGCTCTTTTAAATATTGCCTGGAATTATGAGATATATGCATCTCTGTGTGTACCTGTCAACGGTATCAAAATTAAACCGAGTTGATATTTTCTTTTGCGGCCATGGCCCATGGACGTTGGTGTTGAATACTGAATACCACCAATTGTTTTTTTTTTTTTCAATGGATGGTCCAGTTGCATAAATCTTGATTGGACACATTTGGATGTGATTGGATGCCGTTGAATTCCACCTTGTCCTGGCAACTAGGAACGTATCTGGACAATTGCCCCCACAAGACCAAAAAAAAAAAAAAAATATATATATATATATATATATATATATACACACACATAATAACTCAAAATTTTTCAATTGCTCCCTGAAAAAAATCAATTGCCCCCTATTTTAAAAGAAAATTTTCACTTTTCCCCTCAAAAGGCCTCTCTTATCCCCTAAAAAAATTACTTAACTTAAATTTTATCTATATTTTATAATCTTAAATAAATGGAGGGAGAAATAATTTAAAAAATAAACTTCTTTAATTTTAAATATTTTGAAAAATAATTAATATTTATCTTGTGCAACAAATTTGCCCCTACTATCTAATTTTTCTGGATCCGTGATTGCAGCTCATATGATGAATAAAGAAAGAATGACAAGTAAGAATCTTATAAAAACATTAATGTCAAATTAAAAACTATAATACTGAAACATGATAGAAGGAATATTAAAATTTAAAAACATCAATATTAAAAAATTCTAATTTAATATTAATATTCTTACAAAGTCCTTATTTATCATTCTTCCATGAATATAAAAGCCACATATTCATTTTTAGTATTGTATCCTCTCATAATCTTGTCATTTTAAAAGAGTTCTGATTCCTAAAAAAGATATTTGAATGATTCCAACACCTCTATATAAACTATTTTTTGGAACTAGTTAAAAATATAAAGAAAAAAGATAGAGATTAATCAGATTACTAGCTGTTCTATTGGCGGAAATTCTTTTGCTAGGACAAAATAACATTGTGGGAACTGTAATTTTTTTTTCCTCATATTCTAATGCTATATATAAATGGGTAAGACTTATGTATTTAGCATTATATACTTAATATACTTATATCCAATGAAATCATGACAAGTGGATCTTAATGTGGTAATAAAATTAATAAAAAAAATTCATTATAGAATAGATAATTCATACAAGATCTACATATCTTGATTTGATTGGAAATAAATATATTAAGTATAGAATTAGAGTAATGTGAGATTTCCAAATCTGATGTGTTTTGTAACCCCTGTGTAATTTCTAAGCTAATTGATATGAGTAAAGGTTCTTAATATAGCAATTTGAATGGGGTAATGGAATTAAAGAACCAAAAAATTGAATTAAACTTTAAAAAAAAGATTAAAAGATTTGAAAATCCAAGATAAGGACCAAAATTTAATAAGTCTAAAAAATAAGATAATTGAACAAATGATTTTAAATACATGAATTTTAAATCTAAGATTTTAAAATAAAAAATTCAAATTCAAATTCACCAATCCAAACACTACCTTAGTAAATTGATCTATAATCTCATTCCATGATTTGTAGCCATCAAAACAATAATTTGTAAGTGAAATTTGCTAATTTTTAAAGAAAAAACTTGTCAAACATATTGCTATTTTTATTGATTTTCTACTTTTGATTCATATCCTATTCGCAACTCTCAAAACATGAGTTTGCAAGATTCATTAATTTGTTAAGGAAAATAATTTTAAATAATGATACATTTAACAAGTTTTGCTTTTACAAATTAGCAAACCTTTCTCGTAAATTTGCAAATTTTTGTTTTGAGGGTTGCAAATCATGAAATGAGATGAGAACAAGAAACTTTTAGACCAATTTACTAAAGGACCTTTCGTCCTTATTTTAAATTATCAAATCTTTTAGTCCTCATTTATGTTTAATTCAACTAATATAAGAACATTTGGAGGTGAAAGAAAGGATTCTCCTATAAGAATTGGACTATATCAAAAATCATCTTTGAGTCTTTATTTATTTAACTTAGTTTTAGATATTTTGACTGAGCATATTCAAAAAAAAATCTCTAAATGCATGTTTTTCGTGAATAATATAGTTCTTATTGTGAAGACAAGAAAAAAAATTAACTGTAAATTTGAGTTATAAAAGAGAACATTAAAATCAAAAGATTTTCACCTGAGTAGAGGTAAAACAAAATATTTAGATTATAATTTTAATAAGAGATCAGCCAATAATAATTTGAAAGTGAAATTGAGAGATTATATTATACCTTAAGTGAAAAAGTTTAAATATTTGAGAGCTATTATTCAACATGATGGGAAAATTGATTAGGGATGTTGCACAAAGGATACAAAGCTGGATAGTTTAATTGAAAAAAGGCAAAAAAAGTTATTTGTAATTGAAAGATATTTAATAAACTTGAAGGGAAGTTTTTATCAAAGTGCTATAAGATCAGTTATATTTTATGATAGTGAACGTTGGGCTTTAACAAAACAACAAGAGTATAAAGTTAGGATAGTAAAGATGAGAATGTTAAGATGGATGTGCAGGCATACATATGTAAAAATAAAATTTAAAATGAGTATATACAAGAAAAAGTGAACATAACACTTATTGAGGAAAAAATGGTATAAAATCTTGAGATGGTTTGGACGCATAAAAAAGAAGACCATAAGAGGCACTGGTGAGGAGCTAGTGGAACTAATAATTTTGAGCCTCGTTAAGAGGAGTAGAGGAAGACTAAAGAAAATACTTATAAAAGTTATTAATTTAGATATTTTAATTAACAACATTTCTAAAAGTTTAGTAAATGATAAAGCATAATGGCTTCATACAATTCATGTAACCGATCTCACCTAATATGATAAGACTTGTTATTGTTGTTGATGTTAAATTTAATTCAATATTTTGGTCTTTTAATATCATTCCTCCAATTTGAAAACATGACAAAAAGGGAAAACCCATTAAACAAAAAACAAACTTACTCAAAGAAAATGCATTGGCTTAAAAGAGATTTCCACTCCGTTAAACCAACTAACTCGTCGAGTTGGAGATCATTTCAAATATAAAAGAGAAGACTAGTGTTCTATGTCTAAATTGTTTCTCTTTGTTCTTATCATATTTTACTCTTTAGCTATGATCTTGAAACTGTTTACTTAATTATATCATGCTTTTATCCAATCAACAAAGTTCTTCAAATGCTTGTTTGAGCTACCACCTTCTTGAACACAGTTAATGACCTTTTCCTGTAGCTCTGAAGCACTTGCTCTGAATCCTTTGTCATGGATCGCTTGCTTAATCTTGAATGCTATTTCTTCATGGCTGATTATCCTATCGTTACGACGATTAAGCCTTAAACCGACCTTCCAAATATCACAAATATAGGTCTCCTTAAGAAACTGATCAGCAAAATAAGGCCAGCACAAGAAAGGCACTCCATTGATGGCACCTTCTAAGGTAGAATTCCAACCACAATGGCTCAAGAAACAAGCAATTGAAGGATGTTTCAGAACTTTCTGCTGTGGAGCCCAACCAACTATCTTCCCATGAGAAGACAATCTGTCTTCAAATGCTTTTAGGAAGTCATAGATTGCCCCATTGTTGATATCTGATCTTACAGCCCATAGAAATGGCTCATTTGAGAGTTCAAGTGCCAATGCTAGTTCCTGCAACTGGGTGAGATCCAAGATAGTAAAACTTCCAAAAGCAATATAAGTGACTGACTTATCTGTTTGTTGATCAAGCCAATTCAAGCAAGTTGAGTCTTCTGGCCAAAATGATCCTGCTAAATTCTCACTATGGTTTCTCTTGATTGCTTGAAGTGGACCTATAGGAAGAATTTGTGGAGCAAAAGCAAATGCTGAAGGCTCAAGTTTATGAGTTGAGTTGCAGATCACCCAGTCTACAATTTTTGCTGCTTTGTTGTTCCTTATCATATAGTTGAACACAACTTTTTGTGCACTCAAGTAATCACTAATCTGTGTCCAAACAAAATGTTTTGTCCTCATAGCAGGAAACTTTGGCGCCAAATGAATAATCTGATCTTTTGCTGGTGTTCCTGAAATGGAAATCAGAAATCACTTTGATTCTAATGCCTAACAAGTAAACTTGTCCAAAAATTTTTGGCATAAACATCAACAGTAGTTCATATATGTTGAAAATATTTAAATTGTCTAACCATCAGTATCAATGATTCCATCATGAAGCAGCTCTGGGATGCTGAAAGGCAAGGCCAAGAGTGAAGCTGAAGCAGGCCAGAATAAAGCTCGTCGGACTCTCATCTTCTCTGCAAGTTCAAGTGCCCATCCCATGCTACCATCTGCAACCACACAACTGATCTTTTCACTGTCAGATTCATTTATCTCTTGTATCAACTTTTCCAGCTTATTTGGCATGACTTCACGGATTGACTCTGTCAAATTCTCCAGACAGTTTCTATTTTCATCTTGTCCCAGCCCATCTGGGATTGAGACCAGTTGAATCTCCTTCCTCACTTGTTCTTGATCATCTTCACCTTTTGCTACCACAGCTTTCATAATCTACTTGTGATTGAAATCTGTGGTCACAAATGTGATCTTGATGCCATGTTTGACTAGCTCACATGAAAGCTCCATAAGAGGCTTAACATGGCCTTGTGCTGGGTAGGGCAAAACCAAAACATGTACTCTACACATTTTTTAACTCAGAACTAGATCTCACTATTCTCCTCTATGTGAATAGTTCAGCTTCCGATAATTTTTATACATACTGATGATTCTTTTCCTATAATGTTTATGGAGGAAGAACATGACTTCTAAGATGTATATATACTACTTCACGTTCATTATGGCTGAGAAAACAATGTAATCCTTGTTTCTCTAACCATTGTCCCTTGATGGGTATGATTTTATGCATGGAATAATTTGGTCTATATAATAGTCAACATTCTTTACATAAATGTTGGGGGTAATTTGCTCAAATTTTAAAGTTCAAGGTCCATGACACTACTCATGTAATAGTTTAGGGTCTATGGCGCTAATTAAAAAATGAACAATAACGGTGTTAAAAAAAGTTAACAGTAAGATTTAATTTGCTATAAATTTAAAAGTTTAAGGTCTATTTTACATATTTTAAGAGTTTATGGTCCAGGACGTTTTTCATGCAATACTTTAGGGTTCATTTTGCTCATTAACCCTTTAAAAAATTATAAATGGTGGTTATCTTCCTACATTGCAACTCATATCAATTCATATACTCATGCATAAAGAAAATGTCACAATGATATATCAATGAAATAAAAATAATTTACATATATTAATTTTAAAGATTTCATTGATAATGTGGAGGTTTGAATTGGAGTGATTTCTTGTATTTTTATAAAACTAATTAATATGGCCAAAGAGAAAAAGAAATCATGAATGTTTACGATTTATATTTTGCACATAATTTTACTAGTCAAGAGTCAAGACAACTCATATATCTATATTGTGGAAAAACAATACACAATGATGTAGATTTTTTTTTTTTTTGGGTTAGGATTTAACTATGCCACACATTATTCTCTAATAATTCTTCTAATAAATTTGATTTTATAATCAATCAATGGTGTGTTTCAAGTCAAGCAAACTCATGAGCCTTTTGCTCGGAGGAAGTGGGACATCAATATGTCTTTGTTGATGTTTGATTGCAACTCATATGTCAGAACTCATTTAATTTGTGGTTATCTTTTTATCAATGTAATTCATATCAATTCATATACTCATTACATAAAGCAGGGTCAGAAACAACTTTTGAACTAAAGGGGGCCAATTATGTTTTTGAAATCAAGATACAGTGTTAATTAAAGTTTTTTATAACTTAAAAAATCAAATCATAGTAAAAAAAATAAATATTTAATCTTATATGTACAATTCATATTTTTCAGAAAAAATATATGATTTTTAACCCGTCACATGATTTATGACTCTCTCTTATCATTAATATTTTCTATTTTTAATTTAAAATCCAATTCTACTTATTTGATTGAAAAAGTACACTAAATACCTAAATTTAATACCTTGTTTCTTCGATAATAAATTATGTAAAATGATGAACCACTTGATATTGATGATTTGGGGGAATATGATAAATATATGAATTTTATAAACAAATTAAATCAATATATATGTATATATGTGATGAAAATTTAATAACAATATTTGGCATATATAGAATAATCTTAATTAATATTATGCAAAAATTAAATAACTAAAAAAATTCTATATTAATTCAAAGGATGAATTTTTATAATAATTAATATGTTTTTTCAAATAATTTAGTTAAAATAAAAAATAAAAAAGACTTATAAGTATAAATAAATATTAAGCATCATTCTTTTTTATAATAAAAATTTAATGTTAATTAATAGAAAATATTTTAATGAACTAATAAATTATATATTTTTAAAATGTGTAGAAGAATTATATAGTTTATAATATGCATTTGTGTTTTTTTTAAATAATACGTATAATACATAATATTATTGGAAGCATGAAAGTAAATAAGTGTTGGATGGGGGACTAAATCAAAGTGAAAATAAATAGGAAGGAGGTGTGGGGACCAATTATATTGTGGACAAATATTACACAATGATGTAGATTTTTTTTTTTTTGTTTGTTAGAATCTAACTATGCCACATGTTATTCTCTAACAATTCTTAAAATAAATTTGATTTTATATTCAAATAGTATTGTATATCTAAGTCAAGTAAACTCACATGACATTTGCATAGAGGTGGGACAAGATACGTGTTTGTTGAAATTAAAATGGTCCATAACGCGTCAACATTTGAGTGTCTTGTTGATTTCAAGATAACATCTCTCCCACTTGTCATGGGTTCAAATTAACATTGGGAAAGACGAAGATCGACAATGGTTCATATCATCTATTGTACCACTGAGAAGGAAAAAGAATGTTATTATTTCACATACAAACTAACAAAAATAAATAAATAAATATGATTGCAAAAATTTGATTAAAAACATGTATCCACCCAACTGCTAAGTAAATGTTAAATCGCACTATTTAAAAAGTTATAAATGGTGTTATCTTTTTGTCAGTATGATTTATATCAATTCGTATGCTTATTGCATAGAGAAAATGGCATAATGACATATAGGTCATTGGAATAAGGATAATATCTATATATTTATTTTAGTCACTTCATTAATAATATTGAGGTTCTATGAATTTGAATTGGGGTGTTTTATTATCTTTTTGCATAACTCATTAATATAGCTAAATTAAAGACTAAAAGACAGAAGTCATGAATAATAGTGACAATAATTCATATTTTATGCATATCTTTCTAACTCATGACAACTAATATACATATATTGTGGAATAGATATACAATGATGCAGATTTTTTTTTTTTTTTGCTAGGATATGACATTGCCACGCATTATTCTCTAATAATTTTTATAATGAATTTGATTTTATAGTTAATGAGTGGTGTATTTTTAAGTCAAGTAACTTCTCTAACAAGTTGATAAATATGCCAATATTGTCAAGCTCAACAAGACAAGGATACTAGTTAGTTGTATTCATATTGGTAAAAACAACGTAGCTTTACGAGAAAGAAATCTTAATTATTTTTCATACATTTTAAATGAAGAATTAGGGGCTAGTCCCTCAATTCTTTTTTTTAATGAACTAATAAATTCTATATGATATGAAAATCAATTTTTATAATAATAAATATTTTTTATATAATTTACTCCAAAAAAAATGAAAAGACTTACAAGTGTATATTAATATTAAGTATCAATTTTTTATTGATGAAAAGTTAATGTTAAAAAACATTTTAATGAACTAATAAATTATATGTTTTTAAAATGTGTAGAAGAATTATATAGTTTTGTTTAAAGTGAGTGAGTGAGTGAGTGAGTGCGTGCGTGCGTGTTTGTGTTTAAAATGTGTGTAGAAGAATTATATAGTTTTGTGTGTGTTTAAAATGTGTAGAAGAATTATACAGTTTTGTGAAGAATTATATAGTTTTGTGTGTGTTTAAAATGTGTAGAAGAAAATGTGTTTTGTGTGTGTTTAAAATGTGTAGAAGAATTATATAGTTGTGTGTGTGTGATATTGATAAGAATAAAAATAATTTATGTCTATTTACTTTATTCATTTCATTGATAACATGGAGGTTGTATAAATTGAAATGATTTTTTTATCTTTTTACACAACTCATTAATATAGCCAAAGAGAATAAGAAGCCATGAATGGTGATAATTCATATTTTATACATAATTGTCCCAGTGAAGACAATGCATATACCTATATTATGGAAAAACATCACAGAATGATGTAGATTTTTTTGTTAGAATCTGAATGTGCCACACATTAGTCTCTAATAATTATTCTTAGAAAAAAAAATTGATTTTATAATAAAAAAAAGTGTTGTATATTTTCAAGTCAAGTAAACCCACAGTCATTGGCAAATGAGGACAATAACATGTGTTTGTTGAAATTAGACTGTTTCTCACCATGTCAATGTTTGAGTGTCTTGTAGTTTTGGAGATGGCAGCTCTCCACTTGTCGTGGGTTCGGATTCACATAAAGAAAGGAGAAGAATGGTCCATATCATGTATTGTACCACCAATGGAGGGGAAAAAAAATTATTTCACATACAAACTAATAAAAATAAATAAATAAATATGATTGCACATCGATGGATTTGTTTGCTTCAAATGTAATTTTATAGTAATTTCAATGCTCCAAGGTTAATTAATAGTACTAAAATGTTATTATATAAATTTATCTTTAAAATACACTGATGATGGACCTCTTATCTATTTTGCTTTAATTACAAGAATTTAACTGAAAATATTCATCCACCCAACTACTAAGTAATAGCTAAATTACACTATTAAAAAAAATATAAATAGTGGTTATCTTTCTGTCAGTATGATTTGTATCAATTCATAAAGTGAAAAGAAAATGGCATAATGTTATATATGTCAATGGAATAAGAACAATTTCTGTATATTTATTTTAATCATTTCATTGATAATATTGAAGTTTTATGAATTGCGGTTGTTTTTTTTTTCCCCTTTCTTTAAAACAACTCATTAATATGGCCAAAGACTAAGAGCATGTTTGGATACATTACTTTTGGCTTTTGAAAATCACATTTCCACCTTTGAAATGTAGAATATTGTTTGAAAATTTGATAATGGATCAAACTCACTTTTGAATGCACATTCAAGAACCCATTGATAGTGAATTTGGGAACTTGCCACCAAAAAGCTTTTAAAATTCAGCTTCTGAGATGTTAATGGGATAATACACATGGCATATGATAGGTGGATTGCAACATTCCAAAAATTTAATCCAAAATTAATTAAATTAATTAAGGATAAGTGAGTAATTTTAGAGACATATTTAGAGATAAATAATTTTTGTTAGGAGATTATTGTTGAATTTAATTTAGAATAAATTTAAATCTTAAGTTATGATTTTTTAAAAAAAAATAAAAATTATTATTATATAAAAGGAAAAAAAACAAGAGAAATAGATGGGAAATGGACGTTTGTGCATGTGTGTGTAGTGTGTAATATTATTAAAAAAAGAAGAAGAAGAAGAAGAAGAAGAAGAAGAAGATAAAGAAGAAGAAGAATGAAAAGGATTAAAGAAAATGAATAAAGAAGGGGCGG